TCCGTACGTGACCTAATTGTCCATGGAGTTGTTGATATTTATAATCACGGACTTCAGTCACCCTCTGTAAAGTCATACAAGCATTAGACCTCAGCAGTGCCATTTACAGTGAGCATGTACTGTATCTCAGAACTGCACTTTGCCCTTAACATTTGCTGTGTCCTTACATGAGATTTTGCCCTTAAGCTGTTAGCCAGTGCAGTGCAAAGGCTGCAGCACCGATCCTCCTCTGTTTTCCAGACCTTAACCTGTGCTCTCCAACCTGCTGTACTGATTACAGCTCCCTTTCTCATCCCCTTCTCTGTGCAGGCAAACCGCCCACTTGTGCCAGCAGCTGCTTCCCACCCACTGCTACCCAGTAATTGCCTTTCTGGGTGTGTGTACATCATACCCTCTACAGGACTTGGACTTTCTTCTTTGGATTTCTAAATGGGCAAGGAATACTGTCTTATGGAACTCAGTACACTGGAGGTGAAATCATTTTTTTAGGTTTTCAGACCTTCTCCACTGTTATGGAGCAGCCAAAGCAAGCACATTCTGCCAATGGAAGCATCAACACAGGCTATGGGATTGTTGTGTTAAATGTGCTTTGTATGTAATTAAACCTTTTGTTAGTATTTTAGATTGACAGCAGTAACAGCTAGGAACCTTCAAAGCAAGTGGTTAATGAAATTACAAATGGTACCTAGGATTTTCAGTAATAATTTATCACCATGAATATTCATATAAGATAACAAAATCCTTCCTTCTCTCCGGAGTAGAAAAGAAAGGTAATCTTCCATAAGAAAGAGATGAATTTGGGTATCCTCCATAGGAAGCTGATTGCACATCTTGAGTGATCTGCTGGGAGCCCGAGTCAGCTCCCAGATCAGCGGTGCTCAGCTGATTGACAGCTGACATTCCTAAGGTCCAGAATGTGCTGCTTTGTTTTCACACCACTGACAATCCAGTGTATCTCATCAGAAGAGGGGTTCTTTCATGGTCTGTCTGGGTGCTGCTTTTACCAAAATAGCCCTCTTTCTGTAATCCTAAATATTTGTTTTCCTTACTGCCTATTCTGCAAATAGAAGCAGCTTTTTATCGCACTCTAGTCATCTCTGAGCCCCGCTCCGCTCATTTACCTCTCTCAGTCATCCAGAGAAGTCTGTCCCTCAAGCACAACACGCATTGCTCTTTGCAGAAGTCTCTGAGACTCTGCATATGTACGCTCTGATGAGGTCCCTGGGACAGATTGCCCAATTCCTAGTGCGCCCTTCATAAAAAACCAAAAGCATATGAAATATTACTTCCCTGTTTCTCTCTCCACATATACCACAGGTTTTGATACTACCTTGGGTTTCCCCAGACATGGTACCCTCCAGTTTGCTTTCTACAGATGCTTCTTGTTCTCTTCCAGTTTTAGCACTGCCTGCATTTTACACACATTCACTATTCAGCTACATCCTTGATTTGCAGTGGAAGTCATGATCAATCTCTTAAAAATCTGTCAAGTGGCTTCAACAAAAAAAATGATGCAAGACAAGAATCAGAGCCTCTGGTTCAGTCTTCCAAACATCTTATTCTACTTACACTTCCACTCTTTTACTTCTTTTGTATAGTTACTGACACTAACAAGACTATCAGTTCAATCGCTTCAGATTCCATTCATCTACAGATTTTTTCATACTTGTATGAAAATAATCATGAGCCAAAGCCAACTCTTCTGTTTGCTATTCACTAAAAAGGCAGAGTTTCTACCACACATTATCTGATATTTGTGGTTTGGGTTTAGGGGGGGTTGTAAACACTTATTTTTGTGCCCAGTATAACTAACTCTTATTAAGTCAAATTTGACATTTTTAATATAAATGTACTTTTAACCTTAATTTTAGCTAATCTTGTAGTAAAGCTTAGTGAACACTTTTTTTTTCTGTATTTTCTTCTCATTAGAAAGTGTACACAGCTACGTTGGAAGTATTCTGAAGATTATTTGGAAATTCACCATTGTTGGCTCTTTTTTTGCTCAGTAACTAATGTTAGATTTGGGCTATCCTCTGCCTACAAAAGTTTTAGATCAGTCCTTTATTTTTTTTTCCAGTGATCAAACTTATTGTTTCTCTTATTCTCTTTAAATCATATTCCTAGAAGGCTACACTACTCTCTCCTCTCTCCACATAGCTTTTCCTCTTTTTTCTCTTTTTTTTTTTTGGAGTGGGGAGGGGCATGCTTTGGGGTTGTGGGGCGGGGGGAGTCAGTTTTTTGTTATTGCTTGGAATTTTCTTTTAAGACAGGATGCAGCATTTGGGGTAATTCTGCTGGGAAAGCTTTTAAAAATACATATAAAGCATATAAATAAGTTGATTTGCATAAAGGCATTGATTGAATCTTTGATTATTCTACTGGTTTAGGATAAGAAAAGCCATTTAGCAGTTCTTCCATTTAGGAAACTAAGTGGCTAAAATGTCCCTACTTTTTTCTATTTTGTGTGTGTTTAGTCTGAATGCCCATATGGGGGCTGTAGGTTTTAAATCTCAGTTAATAGAGTTTTAAAATTTGACAGGACGTTGCCAGCTACTTCTAGAAGAAATTGCATTTTGCTGTTTTTGTGCAAAGCTGCCTGTACCTGGTACAAACATAGCCCTCCAGGATATCTCACTGTCTCTGTCTGGTGGGGCTTGGTGGCTGCAGTCACACGAGATGCCTTGAGCAGGACCCCAGAACAGCTGTCCAGCATGGGTGTGGGTGTTGCACCTTGGCTGAGAAGCACTTCTCTGCAGCAGTCTTGCCCTAAGGAGTTAAAAAAACAGGCACCAGGACAGGCAGCAGAGCTGTGCTGCCCATGCTCTCTTGCCTGGCAAATCAGGAAAAGGAGGAGGCAGCCTGTAAAGAGGTGGGATACAAAGGGATTAGGGCAAGTGGGCAGTAAAAGGAAATGGTGAGGCTATGTGGGAGTTATTTGTGTATGCATGTATATATCTATACATATAAATACATGCATATGTTTTGCATATATATCTGAAGCGGCATGGCACAGGACTGGATAGAAGCAGAGGAGGATGGAGAAGGCCGGAGTGCATCCAAGACTTTTAGCCATGTAAGCAAAACTAAGGAAGGGTCAGTCTCCCTTCAGGAACATGTGGCAAGCACAGCATCTAAGAAGTGCAAAGAGATTTTGCACAAGATTTTGTGACACAACTATTCTTTATTTTCAGGTGCTTGTTAAAAGAGCTGTGAATATTTACTCCAGTTAGCAGATGGACATACCTTTATCTTCCCCCACCTCAGTTCCTGTACAAGTCTGCAGCACCCTTTCAGAGCACTAGGTATTACAGCTTTTCCTCAGAATCAACCACTTTTTTCCTCTTGCTTAGATCAGTTTGCTGCCTCTGACACTTGAGTCCCTACAATAAAACAGAAATCTGCTCCTGAAAGAAATCCAGTCCCTTCCTCTCTCTAATTTGTTCTAGTTACCTGCTTTTCTCCTCTGTTTTTTGGTCTTGTTCCTACTGTATATCTTTCTTGTTTGGAGTGTTCCATTTTCATATTCCTGTGGACAGTAAAACAACCCATGGCCTCTTTTAATAGCAGTACCCTTTACCAAAAGGTTCAGTGTATAGTGAATAGATAGAAGTCATTCACTGATGCCCAGACAAGCATCTTTCATTCTGCTCTGGCAACTCACTGAAAATTCACAATCGATTTAGTCTTCCAGCACATGTACTTTGTAAATTGCGTAAAAATTACTCTCTTGTCCAGCATATTGAGTACATTTTGGTCATTTCAATTTTAAAGGTGTTGAACCTGTTTCTCTTTAGAATGAGCATTGCTCAAATAACAGCAGTTGCATTCATTTCTAGCACAGAGAGAATGCTCCACCATCTACTGTATTACATATTCTTGTGGATTTTCTCCAGCAGCTACTTATGACAACTGCAAGCTTGTTTTACCCTGGGGATATATATGTATGTGGCCAATTGCTTCAGGTCATATTCCTTCCAAATGGAAGTCAGCTTGACAGCTGTTAATTTGCACTTGGCCATTCCACATGTTGTTTTGCTCTAATTATTGGTCACTGTATGGAACAGGTGACAAATGCCCACATGAGAACCCTGTAAATTACTAGATGTACGGTCATTAGGAAAACAAACAGGAAAGGTCATTAAATACTGGTTTTCTCTCCAGCCCCAAACAGAAACAGATTTTAACTGGTTTTGACATCCATTGGAAAGGGATGGAAAGAGGTGGAAATACCTTACTGTTTATGAAACTAACTTCCCATTCTGTAAGTGTCCTAGTTTTAGGAAAAGAGGGGAATTCAAGGAAAATGCAATTGTTTTAAGACCAGATGCAGAATCTGGTTTATCTAATGATTTTGTCACAAAGCTTGATTAGGTTTCTTTCCCAAGTAAAAATAAATGTGCCTACCAAAATAATTCGTCTGACCTTCAGCTACTACAGCTATATTGAATTAAAGCAGGAAAAGAAATTTCCTTTCTGAACAAGACAGTACTTGCCGTACAAGAATGGCAAGACACCATTACAGTGAGTTTTCCTTCTATTGAAGTGTGGTATTGCAGAGGATATTTAAATAAAGTCTGTTTTCCCAGGCTCCCAGGATGTAATTTGGACCAGATTTTCTAAGGACATAAGCAGAGGTCTTGTTTTGTTCCTGGGAATAGTAATTCTTGGATTTTTGCAAGATTATAGACCTATCTGTAAAAAAAAAAAAATATATAAATCATTTATTTCTTCTCAGTGCTGCTGCATTAGTTGAAAACAAGATTCAGCATCTTGAAGTCTTAGTGACATTTCTACTTTTAGACCTTGTGAGCTGAAGATCTGCCACTTGCTCTTTGCAGGGATGTGTTGGGACGCCATGCTTTCATGGTAGAACAATACCAGAGGGACAGCACAGAAATCAAGTGGTTGCCATAGGACATGCTTTTCTAGAACCTGAGCTTAAACTCACCTCACCTCTAAATAACATCCCACTTTGTTTTATTTTTGCCTTTTAAAATTAGGTGTAAGTGCAACCTTCATGCTACTGGCTGTAAAGAAGAAAACAAAAGACTACTTTGTGAATGTGAGCATAACACAACGGGCCCAGACTGTGGAAAATGCAAGAAGAATTATCAGGGCCGACCGTGGAGCCCTGGTTCTTATCTGCCTATACCTAAGGGCACTGCTAATATCTGTAAGTAGTTCTGTATAATAAGGATATTTTATTATTACAATTCTGCCCCATATCGTGACTCTGAAGGAAGAATAGTGTTTGCAAAAGTTTGTCATTTCTTCTGACTCAGTGTGTATAATTAGACAAGGTGTCAATTTGTAAGTGCTAATTGTAAGTATACATCATCTGTGCTCTCACATGGTTTTAAATAACTTCCAGGAGAACTACATGTTTATATCCATAGATGCATCCCTGGACACTGCACAGAAAGGGCTAAGGAATGAAAAGATTAGGACTCATCACATAAAAAACACACACAGATGAGAGAAAACAGTGGGAATAACTGCAGTACTGCTCCAGCCATGGTGCCCTCAGCTCTCCATTCATACATCCTTATTGTCTTGAGGTTAGTGACACTCTCAGCTCAACATGTGAAATCCTTGCTCATTTTTTGTGCAGTTAAAAAAGGTGAGGAAAAAACACCTCAGGCCAGATTTTTCATATTACTAACTAAAGATCTAAAGGTTGGAAAACATTTCCCTGATGTTGACCTGCAGTCCAGACTCAGATGCACTCTTGTAGATCAAGTGTTGAAGAGAGAAAACAAGGGCAAAACCTGGGGTTTTACATCTGCTTGTAAATTTCCAGCTAACAGCCACTCCACAACACATGTGTACTGTTCCAGCACACTTCCACATAATCCAAAGCAGGAAGTTACTGACAGCTCAGTTTCCTGGTCCTGGACAGGATTGGGCCAAAATAAAATATGGGACTGGAAAGAGAGGGCACAAAGACAAGTATGACCATCAGTTCTCCCTGTCTCGCATACATGAAATACGCAGGGATTCAGAATCCCCCTGAACTGAGTAACAGACTTAAATTCCTTTGAAGAAAGGACTGAAAATGAGGATACCTTTTGGCAGAAGTTACTAGCTTCTTCTAAGAAAAGAGTCCACAGTTTTGCCCTGATTAAAAGCAAAACATTCGTTTTAAAATATTAGATATAACAATTTATTGAAAAAGTTATTTGAGAGAAACAGAGCTATGGATGCAGCTGAATGAAAAGTTTAAAACCAGGAGCAATGTGCAATGCTCAGAATGTTATCTAAGACTTCAAAGCAGCAGCTGTGAAGAATCAAAACTCACAAATTAAGATCATAGGAAGCAGGACCTTATCAAGTAAAATGTGAGAGTAATAGACCAAGTAACAAACCATGAAGTGTGGGGGCATGAAATTGTGATAAAATTCTTACTGAGCAGAAAAAAATGAACTTCCAAAAAGCAGGGAAAAACATTTTGTAAAAGTCTTCACTTTTTTTCGCCTGTTATAAAAACTGAGTGTGGCTCACAGAATTAATATTTTAAATCTGTGTTTGGGAAATATGGTGAGATTTACCAGGTTGATTTTAGCTAAATTCACCTTGCTGTGAGTTTTACCTCATTCCCAGTCAGCTGAGCACACACCAGACAGAACAGTGGAATTAGCACCTACTGAAAGTGTCTGAAGCTTGTTAAATTAACTTTATGTTAAAAAAACCATCAGTGAATTTCAGCAAACATACAGTTTCATCAAAAATCAAAACGTTTTGTAAATAATAGGTAGTCATTTCTGGGGATGATGGTGATGATGATAGCATCATGAAAACATAACCTTGTTTGAGCTGAAGAATACTCCACTTACCCTCAAATCCTGACTTCAGCAGTCATCAGCAGCAGGAATTTCTGGCAAACAGGAAGAAGCATGAAGGATTTCTTCTTCACTTTCTCAGTTACCATGAAATAAACTGGCTTTCTGAGCTGGACTTCTAGGGTTCCTTGCTGCTGAACAGAGAGAGACACCCAACTGACATGAGCTTGACCTCAGTGATACCTTATGGCAAGACATTTCCAATTTTAGTGAGACAGTGAGTGAAAGGTATTTTATTTTGCTTGCCTTAAATGTTTTTCAATGGTTAAGCCAGTACCTCCTTCAATAAGGAAGGAATAAAGAAAAATGCACCTCTGTTTACATCTGTTACACCATTTATCATTACATAGACTTGACCTTATCCACTCTTCCACTCTTTTTTTAAATGACAAAACCTGATCTCTCTCATCTTATCATAAAACCATGCCACATCTCTGGTCATCTGTGCTTTCTCTTCTGGTTCTGTGATGTCATTTTTTCTATTTGGTGAGGCTAAAACTACACTTGGTATTCAAGACAGGACAACAACATGGCTCTTTTATGATAACATTAAAATGTGGTTCTTTTAGATTTTGTTACTCTCTGGATCAGTCCTTGAGTCCTTTTTTTAGACTGTACCACAGTTAAAACATTTCTTCTGGCCTCAAGGCTGACTTAAATTACAGGTTACATGCTACAATAGTTAGTTCAGAAACATGATATTTGACTTCCTGTAAAATACTTCTTGGGGCAACATTTTCTCATGGCAATTCTTGTTCAATACCATTTACTTCAGATGCTAACAGACTTTGAGAAAATTCCTCAGCAGGTGAGAATCTCTCTTTCTTTGTTGTGAACATCAGTGAAAACAATTAATTTAGTATTCAATATTAAATTAATTATTAATTAGTGATAGTATTAATAACACCTCAATTGCCTATCTTCCCAGTTATCTCTCTGGGCCTCCTGCTTCTAGTATGATTGTTTTAACAAAAAAGAATTTCTAACTTCTGTGTCCATAGGAAGTTAATTCTTGAAATTCTGTGGTTTATATTTAAATTGGCAGATTTTATGCTTTTTTTCCCCATATCTTTCTCCATTGAGAAGACTTACACTTTTGAAGGGTATCTTTCCAAAATCATCTACATTCTGTTGTTTTGAATTTGGCATTGGGGTTTGGATTTTTTTTTTTGCTTATAAGAGAGTAATTTTTATAAGTTACAAAAAAAGAGATGAGCTTCATATGATTATTCTGAGCCTCTCATACATTTGTCTCCAGCTGCTTCCATGCTGTTTGCATGTATATCTTTTTAGATGTTCTTTTCACTTTTCTTTTATCTAACTTCCTCATTTTCGTTTCCTTGCTCTCTCAAAGTTAAATATTACTGCAGTGGATTTTTTTTTTTTTATCCTTTTCCTTCTCAACAAGCATGTTGAGTTTCAGTCCAGAAGTGGTTCTCTGATAACTACTTCTTGAATTGTGTCCTATGCACTGCTTCAGAACTAAATCAGCTTCTCTTCTTGTGGGTTGTCTGATTCTTTGGTACAAGCAGCAATCATTTATGATATGTAAATCTTCCATTTCTTTTGTCATTTCCTGATTTAAGGCTGTATATGTTGGAGCCTATGAAGTTATTCATTACTGTGTAAACTCTCTGCACAGCCAGTGTAATTTCACTTAACTTTTTGCCTTTATGTCACCATCTCCATCATGTGGTCAGCAATGCAAAGGTGTTGTACTCTCCCTAGTCAGGTGTGGATTCTGAAATAGCTCCTGGAACATGTTGATAGAAATAACTTCCCTTCATATATTACTTCAGTTCTCTGGGGGCACTTTGTATAATCCAGTAATACAGTGTTCCTCTGATACTTCTCCTTCCTCTAATTTTCCAAGACCATTTTTTCATCTAAGACCAAATTATTTAAAAATTTTAATATGTTTGAAGTTTACATGAATATGCTTAAAGATACGCTTTAAAATAGTTGTATAAATGAAACACTCTGAATTTTTTTTTCTTCTTTCCACAAAATTAAAAGATACTCTTTCTTGAGATGCTCGGAATTTGTGAAATTCGTTCAGATTCAACAAGAAGCCTAATGTCTATTTCCAAATCTTTCCCAGCTGGAACTTCTGTTATTTCCATTGCTCTGTTTCTGCCATTTTTTCTGGCCAATAAGACTTCATCATACCTTTTCAAGCTACAGCTCCTGAAACAGAAGACCATTCCACGACCTGTAGTCGTAGCGGAAACCTTGACATAAAGCTGTTTTCTTTATCCATTTATTTCTTCACCATTTTAAGTCACTCTGAATTTTTCAGGAGAATGCAAAACATTTTTCCATGCTTTACCTGTGAAGGACAGCAAGTACTCTGTTGTTTACTGGCACTAACAATATTTCTCCATTTGTCTCCACACAGCATTTATTTTATATTTCCACTCTATCTTATTGACTATTTTGTGATTACATTCATTCCCTTGTGCTGCCACATTCTATAGATAGTTTTTTCTGCAATATGTTTTGACACACAAAGTGAACTTATTGAATTTCTCTCTACTTGGTATTACAGGATAGCTTTTCTCCTCAGCAGTTGTATGAGTCTGACAGCACTAGCTCTTTTCTTCCTCCTGTTGTTTAGATCATCTTTGGCACTTAGGTTCTTTGCTCCATCAGACAGAGCTGTCTCAGACTGCACTGAGCTGCCCTGCATCAAAGCCTGCTCGCTTTGTGTCAGTCCCTTCACCACCAATAACCTGTACCAAAAGTGCCCCACACTCAGCAGAACCCCCTCCCAGCTGTTACATGACTTTCCTAATTCATAGTTCAACATGAAACAAAGGATTGATCAGGACATGGGAAACACTGGTGGTTCTTTTCAGTCAAGAGTCAGGCAGACAGTCTCAGTGTACCAAATTTCTCCTGCAGTGGGTCCCCCTCCCATGGTACAGCCTCTGTCTCAGCAGCACAGCCTTAAACCTCCTTGAAAAGCAAAAGACTTAAAAGGCATGAGTGCAGCACAGCTGCCACAGAAACAATTTCTGGCAAAACTTATGGCACCTCCAGAAGTGCACTGGTATTACACTCATTGATGTTCAGTTTTCCCCATAAATACTTGCTGACACCAAGCCATCTTGAAGGACCTGCATAAATAAAGTTGCCCAAGAAGTTGTGCTTTCTAATCAGGAATCCAGGTAACGAGGATCCCCCTAACTGAAAGGATCACACATCCTGCTTTCCAGTCAAAGCAGACTCATAAACTAGACAGTGTCCCATTTTTCTAATGGCCCATTCTCCCAAGTAACTAGAAATTTTCCAGTGCCTTCTTCGTGACTTGATTTGAAGGAATGGGACACTTATGTTGAAGTTATATTGCTCCTTGATGCTTTTGACAATCTGTTTCAAAGAGAAAAAGGAAGATATCAATCAATAAGTTACAAAACAGAAAAGCTTCATATTGCTCCTATTTTATATTTATATTACATATTAATATTAGTCCATGAAGCTTACAGAAGGTATAAAGCCACAGGAACATGTCACACTAAAGGCTGGGAAACCTAGTGTGAGGACAAAACTGCAGTGTATCAAGAACATCCAGGTAAACAGGAGTGTCAGGAAAATCTGCAAAATCTGCAACTGATAAACTCATTTTCCTTCAACTGGGTATCCAGTGCAATAGCCAGCAAAACATTGCAGGTACATACCTAAAAACAATGCATTATAAATAACATGGTTTATTTTTTTAAAATAGGGCTTGAAAAATTATCCTTCAGCACTTTACCCTCTTGCATGACCCTGCTGAGCTGGTTGTTTGTGCTGGCTGTGGTGACATCTGTTGCTGGGAAATGAATTGTTTCTGTACATCACTGGTTTCAAACAACTCTATTTTTGCCATATACAGTGAAAAGGTGAAATGAAAGAGACTTCTGGTCCTTAAGCAGCAGCAGCATGGGAAGGCAAAGTGTCTCTTTCAAGATATTCAAAGTGCCAGAAACAGTCTGAGTTTCAGGCTTTGCAAAGTTTCTAATATTCTATCAATAAATTATGATTACTTGAAAAAAAAAATCTTTTGATCTCACTGGGTGTTTCCTAGACAGAGTTTTCAATACTGGTTTGGACTCACTAAAACATATCATGAAGAGTCCAAATTTTAAAAGATGTTACCCAATAAAACAATAGCTATTTCCTCTGTCCCATTTATTTCTGGTGGTATCGCTTGGGAAAGCAGAGGTGAGGGATAAGAAACTTCATCAAAGCTGTTCCTTTTCTATTAATTCTATCTATACAGAGGAACAATTGCAAAATTAACAGTAGCAGGAGTTCTGGGGCTCTTGGAATGAAACAGATGAAATTCCCAAAGAATTTTCTTTGACTGTGTGTAATCCTTTGTCTGAATTGTCTGAATACAGGTTTAACAATCCATGAAAAGTTTGCTCCTGTGATCATAATGATCACTCCCTTTGAGGGATTACAAGACACCAGTATCATCGAGCTTCTCAGGGCTTTAAATTGCTAGAGAATTCAGAAGTTCTGAAATTGATGCTGAGCATCTGATATTGCAATCATCGCTCAATAGAAGAGCTGCAAAGGGAAGAAAGACTCACTGCAGGGAGTGCTGTCATGCTGCAGGGCAGATATTCTAGCAAAAGATCGGATGAAGCATTAACATCCCTGCTCTGACTCTGCTATGAAAAGCTCTATATTTTGTTCCTGCTTAAGAGTCCTGCCAGAAGCACATGCGGGCGTTGACAATGGAGGTGCTAAGAGGGGCTGCAGGGTATGACCTGCCCTGACACTGGAAGCAGCAGTGTGGTCCTTCTCACCAAAAGCTGGATCCATTTCTTTGTGTTAGGGATTTCACACTGACACAAACTGGAGACAGAATCAAAAACTTGCTTTCTTTGCTAGCATCTGATTTGCTTTTTTCTTCATCTCAATAGCCAGCTCCATGGTAGCTAAGAGCTAAAACAACCCATTTCTGGAAGTAGGGGAAATGAGAAAATTACAGGGCAGATGCAGAAGATCATACGAAAGGAAAACACCAGATTTTTTTCCGCTCAAGTAATGCATATATATTTAGATGCACTTACAGTGAACATGTAATATACCAAACCACCGCCCTCAAGTCATGTCAAAAATAATAAATAGTATTAGTGACTTTCTCCTGCAATATTTGCAATTTCAGGGGCAGTACCAACCTCTGAACTTACTTTGCATGCTTTACTTGATGTCCCTTCACTATAAATCTATTACCATTAATAAACATCCCAGTGATTTCAACTGGAAGATAATTTAGGGTGAACATTGCTTTGGTTTAACAACTGAATAGGTGTAAATTCTATCCCTTTTTGTACCTTGTTCAACAGAATTGTCCATCAAAGGAGGCCTGATCCTTCATCTCTCTAACCTGTCCCCATCACTTCACTGCTGGAGAGTGCTCACAGATTTCAGTACAAGGCTGACTGGAAACCGTCCATGCCATGTAACAGACCAGGTTCAAGCCAAGGGCCAGCAGTGGTGGGATGACCCCACAGCCTGTGGTTGTCCCCAGCAGTGCAGGGATGACCCCACAGCCTGTGGTTGTCCCCAGCAGTACGGGGATGATCCCACAGCCTGTGGTTGTCCCCAGCAGTACGGGGATGATCCCACAGCCTGTGGTTGTCCCCAGCAGTGGTGACACGGGCAGAGCCCTGTGCTCAGGCCCTTGCCTGCCTCCACACTAACAGAGAGGGAGAGCAGAATCACACCTCCTGTGCCTGATTACCTAAGGACTTGCACCAAATCCAGCTCAGCTGAATTGAAGAGCTAGCCTCAATATGTAACTCCAGATCTCACACAAACACTCCTTCTAAGAATAATTTCCCCATCATATGTGCGGTTTTCACAGAGTGTTAATAGACCCTGCTTCGTGGCCCTACATAACCAGCTCCTTTCCAGACAAACACAGAAGTGTCATTCTCACTCTCTTTAGTAAGAAGGGCATAAAGTACTGCACTATCAAGGCCAGTCACCTCTCACAGGGATACCTGCTAGTACAAAAACCAGTCTGGTTACAGAAGACCACACCAACTAAGAAACTCTGTACAGAAATAGCAAAACAGCTTTTGAAACAGAATCTGAAGATATTTTTGCAAGGTTAATACAGAGCCCTCAGGCTAGCAGGCATCTTGTGTTCATTATTCTCTGCCCAGGAAACATTTATCACTATGAATTCATTGAAAATTTTGACGTACAATAATGTGAGGCAAGCAGACTTGCAGGAAAACCTCTTCCTTTGCTACAATCTGTTCAGGAGAGAAAAGAAAGGATATTTGTATATGTGTGTAGGAGACAGAGAGGTTTGAGGCGGGGGAGTATACCCAGAGGAAATACAAATACCATTTCACAGTGCAAGTGTGAGTGTGAGAACACAGTTTTTGTCTTTTGTCTAATATTTGTGTAGGTTCCATGAGTCTATAAAGGAAAACTAATCCTGCTAATTTAAACCAGCTACAATGACTTGCAAAAATTTAAACAAGCTGCTATTGAAACTTCAGGGGAAAATATTTTAAAATAGATTGTCTTTTTGCCATTTAAAATAAGGGGATAGGCATTCTCTTTGATGATCTTAACCAAAAAAAGCACTTTTTGTTACCATTAGAACTATGACCACATTGTTCTATTATGATGATATTTGCATTTAGCTTTCAGCTTTTTCATGGTGCTAAAATTTTGGAAAATACACGTTCATCTCAGCAGAAGTAGAAATAATTAAGTTTGCAAACAGTGTCTGAGTGTGGGGCTGGGTGAGCAGCAGGTGCTGTCCATGGTGCTCTGCCAGGCCACGGCTTCCGCAGGATACGAAACCCGGGAGCTGCAATTCTGACGCGTGCCCCAGGATTGATGTGGTGAAACATAACAAGTCTAGGTTTGGTCCCCATTCTGCAAATTCTCTTACTTCAGCATTGTCTTAGCCATGCCACAAGTTAAGATTTTTCCCAGCTTGTCTCTGCAACCTTGCTTACATTGAATATCATTTATTCTCAAGACATTCCTTCACTTAATTGCAGAGTGAGGTCCATGCCATCTCTGAGTAAGGGAGAACTTTAAGATAGATACTGAAAGAAGTGTAGCAGATGTTTAATGGAGAAACAGACAGATATCTGCAACAAAATGCATGACACAAAAGTCAATAAAACTTTAAAAAGGCAAACTGTATTTAAGGAAGAGGATGCAAATATCCAGGATTTCAATACTGATCTGCAGTTTCTGACTAACCCAAGTGATAAGCCACAGTCCCATTAACAATGGCATTTAATCTTAAAAAAATGGCATTTCAACAAAGATTTCATATCCATGGTTTTGTGCTACACACAAAGCCTGATTTCAGGGCAGACCTGACAAGAAGGTAGTTCTTGGGATTGCATTATACAGCACGAGATCCCACACTGCTTATCCAGTGAAGGAGTTTTACTCCTTAACAGCCCCACTTCTTAGGGTAAATTTCTCTGTAATGGTTTCCTTGCATTAATTCGGTTTAGGAATTGAAATGAACACAGGAAAAAAAATAAATCAATGAGAGGCTTAATCAATATGGCCAACCTACTGCATTAGATTGTTTCACTCAATTACATTTCTTTTACATAGCTTAATTTAGATAACTGTCAGGTAAAAGAGGGAAAAATAGTTCTACACAATTAATGCAACAGAAGGTACCAACTGATTTAAGCAGCTGGCCAAAACAGTTAGCAATGCATCTATCCCTTGGTTAAATTACTCTCCTGGATCTGCATAATACATGCATGACTGATATTTTTATCTAGAGCATTAAACCTAATGGCTGGTTAGTTGAAATACAAAACTGTTCTGAACAAATTCATGAAGTTAAGAGAGCTGGTATAGATCCCATCTGTCAATGCATTTTAGTGGTCCCTGCAGCTCCATACTGAAAAATCTAAAAGACTCTGCATTTACAAAGGACTGGGCATGTAATGGCAGATGCTTGAGTTTAACTGTGTATTGATAAAGTATTCTGAAGATGTTTTCAGAATATTAGTTGTAATAGCTCGGCCAGCTACAGCAAACAGCTAACTACACTTCTTTGTGTTTTCTTTCTCTGCAGGTATACCCAGTATTTCCAGTATTGGTAGTAAGTAATAAAACCAGTATTGTTTTGCATTGTCATTCAGCTTCATGGACCTGATTTCCCAACATCCCTTTCTGGTGTAGATATTGTTTCTCTGACAGCATGCCCTGTGGTGCAGGGGCTGTGTATTGGCCTTCCTCTCTGGCATTAACATGTAACTGTTACTACATGGTCAGAGACAATGTCACTCCTTGCATCTGCATTCAGCCCCAGATTGTCTGATCGATTCTTATCAGCAGATGAGCACTGAGTCCTATAAAACTAGTGTGACACAAAGAATTAAGACACTGTTGCAGAGAAAATATTTGTTGAGCATTTTGAAGAAGTGTTTGCTAATAACAGAAGTATAGGACCAATAATTTTCATGCATGTATATGTGTGTGTAAATTCAAAGAGCAAATGGAAAAGTTTATAAATGGAATAGCTTTCATTTCTATGAAGTAGATTAGCAAATGCAGCGTATCTGCTGGAATCTGCATTAACTCAAGCAGGCTTTGAACTCAGCTTTACTCCACAAAATAAATAGAATTGTGTTCCTTCACAGAAAAATGCTTGCCCGTATGTAATCAAAGTAGCAAAATACAACTCTTAAACTATAACAAAATCATGACACTGTTATGTAAAGAACTACTATATATCAATGAAATAGATGATTAGTGAAACAAAACACTCGAAGAGACCAAGCACACAGCAGCTGAGCTGTGAGCCTCGGCTGCGTTCCACAGCTGAGGAGTGCACACAGTCATGGCACGTTAGTTAATTGCCAATAAAGCAGGGAGGGAGAAATGGGATCCTGCTGTGGCTCAAGGAAGGAATATTCCCCACAGCCTCAGCTTTGCAAATACTTTGGACACAACTTGCATAATACAGGACAATCACGGTTATAAAATATCACAGTTGTTAAATGCAATTTGCCATACCCGGTATCCAAGTGAAAAGTTTTTAACAATTTGGGTAAAACTGTCTCACTTCTTATGATGTAGTGTCAGGACTATCAATTTATAATCAACTCCGTTTACTTAAGTTCATGAATAGCACTGATTTGTTAAGCTCTAGACAGGCAAGTTAAATGCCATCAAAACTATCTCCCTTGCAAGTGCAAGCAGTGTTAGCAGCTGAATGCCACAGCATCTGTTTTCTGCTTTAAATAGAAAAACAGCATCAATGACAATAATGTGCAAATGAAAGCCTTCAATCTTAATAATGTCATTTGCCTGCTCTAGTGTCTCCTCTGGTATTTGCACGCCTGCAGATTCATAGCGATGTGCTGTTTTCAAAACTTTGTGTTTATACATGTTTGATTACCAAAAAAACCTAACTAAATGAAAAAGAATAAGTTTATGTCACCGTTCTCAGAAATATTCCTGCCATTAATAACAGAAATGGGATGAATGGGAAATAGTTCTTTGGAGTTTGATTGTGCTATAGTTTCTTAGTACTACTGTGTTGCATGGTCTATATGGTTGTGTTTTCACTTCACCCTCCATACAGCCTTCGTCACTACATCTACCATTTCTGAGCATCAGCAGATGTTGGCCTTTGAAAACTTAATAGGGAAACTCAAATACCTTTTGAACAATGGTGAGCTGAAAGGATGCATTGTTGACCTCTTTGTATTTTACACTGGCATGATTAGTTCAGTTTATTTATTACAAACGGAGAAAATTCTGTTTAACATTCTATAGGAAATGCAAGAGTTTCTGCAAATCTATGTTTTATCTTTAGTCTGTTGTAAATGTCTTGGGATAATATGTGGTAGAATTCAACATGTTTCTTTGTCTACCTGAAAAAGATGAAGTATGAGCATCTCTTCATGAGCACAAGTAAATATTGGTACTCTGCTTGCTTTTTCCATGTGATTTTTCTTAAATAGCTCAGGGGAGAAATAACTCTGCTTGCTTAATGTTCTAAACACCTTTCCTATAACATAGGAATAGCAGAACTTTTGTTAAACAAGGACAGAATCCATAAATTTATCCTGTTCTCAAAGAGAATGTAACAGAAGTCCAATTAACACACCAAACCAAACAAGATTAATTAGTCATGGCTGCTTTAATGGATTCTGCATGATTTTTGTTTTGTCTATGCTAACACAGCATTTGTTTTCATATCAGCAGAGTTTTTCCCCATCGGGGGCAGGAAGTTACTCTTGGGAGATAGAGTTTGGGTTTCATTTTGCCCGGCAGCAAACACCTACAGAGGGTATTGGCTTTTGTGTGCTCCCAGCTTTTTCTGGTATATAAGGAGGAAGGGGTTGGGGCAGGTGGGTTAGAAACACTAAACTTCCAGCATGCAAAGAAGATGCCATCTCAAGCAATGTTCATTTGACACTTTTTTGATACTGCAATGAAAGCCAGCAAAGAATAAAATACATTCACCTGTGTGCACATATATGTATTATTCTCTATTTTCATTTTTTTACCGCAAAGGATTTTGTATTAAAGCACTAAAATTTGAACACAAAAAAACAGTGGTCATTAGTAAACATCCTTTCTGATCATCTAGAAGAAAACAAAGCAAACAAAAAAAAAAAAAAAAAAAAAAAAAAAAAAAAAAAGAGCTTTCCCATTAAGGTCATTTGTACCTGCTGTTGTCTATTAGTTGAATAATAGGTTCTCTGATCATTTCCAGCATTCTTGATTACAATGCTGGCTCTTTCAGCATTTTTCAGCCATGTCTGAAAAAATACTGGTGAAAGTGTTAGCAATTAATGAGTCCCAAAACAATTTCATAATTTTAAGCAATGCTTATATACAGTATGCAAACATTCTGAAAACTGCATTATTTTACTTGCTAAAATAATGATTGTACAATTTTACATAGAGCAGTGCATCAAAATGTTCATTATTGTGACCAAATACCAACATTACTAATCTGTACATGTATGCCTTCAAAAGTTGAGTCTTCTAAACGATTGCTTCTTTTTTTCTGTAAAGCATAACTCCACTAATTATGCTAAACAGTTTGTTATAGAGGGTATAATTAGATAGAGGATAAGATAGACATGATGTGCAAATAGCTCTGTGTGGGCGATTATCACCTTAAAGCCTGCTGCTGGCAGATGAGTCAGAGTTTAGAGACAGACCATGCACCCAAGTGCAAGATGCAGTCACAATAACCAAACAGTATTTTCTGCTTTGTTCTCTATGTTTTTGCTCTTCCTTATAGTCAATTTTAAATTAAGAGATTTTTTTAAATGATAATGAATGCAAGATAAAGTTAAAAAAATACTGAATGGGCACTTCCTTATTTGATTGTTTTCTTAACGTTGAAAAATACTCGTAGGTATTTTTCTGGAACTAAAACAGTGTCTGGATGCGTGTAGCTTTATTTGTTTTTCACATTTGTAATGAAATTCTAATGTGGTAAATATATATCTTAAAAGGTGGCGAGAGCAAATACTAGTGGATTTTTTTTTTTCTTTTTTAATAACAACACAAAGTATTTTGGACCTGATTTTGCCCTTTTCCAGTTACCAGGAAGTTCTCTTTTTAAATCTTCAGTCGTGTGAGCAAAGCTCTGGACTAGAGTCTATACCTAACACATGTCAGCAGGGTATAAACATGCATAACTAGGATGTACATTACTTTTCTATTATTATTTGAGGTCAAGTTTTACAGGAAGCTGTACTGTTGAGGGACCATTAAGATATTTATCTCCTTAAAACATTCAAATATTGTCTTCAGACTGTATCTATTATTTTGGACATATAAGCAAAATGTTCTCATTTCAATTTAATTTTTTTCCAAATCTGACCTTCTAAAATAATATTGTTAATCAGGCTTCCAGTCTAAGGCAATCACCTTATCTAGATAACTGATTATAATATCAAGCCAGTATTTGTTTTCCCTCCTTTAATGCTTTGAAGCTCTTGGAATCTTTTGCTTTAAAAATTAGATTTTGCACTATATTAAAACATTACTGAGCTGAAAGAAAATACAAACGGCCTTTGTGGTATGATGTGCTCATTTGAATACTGGATCTGAGAGAAATTTACATTCCAAATAATTCCATTACAGATAGTTGTACCTGGTAGGAGTCCCAGCAAAGCCATCTTCCTGCTGTATAGCTAGGGTGTGATCCCTGAAGGTGAGGAAGCAGAACTGAGCCCAGCACGGAGCAGAAACTGCCTCTCTGCTAAAATTGCTGTGACAAATATATAAATAAATCAAGTGATTTCGAGGGCAGGGTCAGAAACCACCAGTGCTGCCCCAGGGAGCACCTGCCAGGTCCTTGGGATGGGATTTGGGGGAGCCTTCGTTTCAGTTTTGGTTTTGCCAGATCCACCAATTTTAACAGATAAGAAGAGCTGTGCTCAGCAGTCTCAGACACAGCCACTGACAGTTTAGAGTTGTTTCTCACTCCTCTTTCCAGTTTTCCACCATCATCTTGAGTTAGTTTAAATCAGTCTATCAATCACATAGTGTTTTCAATGCTTTTTTGATTTGCTGCAATATATAGAGAACTACTCAGTTCATAGTTATCTTCCTTTTAACATTAATAAATAATGCAGTGATAGAATACTCTAGAAAATATGTCAACATTCCAATATGTACCATGGTACACATGCAAAACACACGGCACTTGCAATATGCAAGTTTGGCTCAGTTACTCAAGAAAGTTTATAGAGAGTAGACACGACCCACAAAGATATTTTAAAATCTAATGATCTGTACAACTTGGGGAGAAATTGCCAGGAAAAAAATGCATTTCTATGTTACCCTCTCGTCTTTTTCTTTCTGTTCCTTAAGACATGTAATCAATTTATTTCACAGACTAAAGAAAAGAATGAGATTTCCAAATCAGCATAGTGATTTAAAAAAGCAAATCTTGATTTACTGTTCATCAGCTGGGAATTACTGTATAGTAATTCTGGGTGATCAGACAATTTTAACATTTTTATAGGAAAAAGCAGAACCAGTCCAAATGAAAAATAACAACACAACCCCTGCAAACTATCAACAAAGTAATTTGTGTTTTCATGAGAAGGTACCTAAATGTTTCATTCCAATCATACTTGAATTCATTGTGCACTTGTACAAACATTTAAATGGAAATACTTAAAATTGAAGAATTCCCTCAGCCCTCACTGTTTTGAGAATCAGCCAAAAATTTGTTCAAATCAGTGGTATCTTTTTTCTGATATCTGAAGGTTTCCAGAGATGGATCCTTGGATTATTTTTTTAAGCCTCTGAAAAGATCACTTTCTTTTTTACTCTACAAGTGGACACATAAAGGACTAATTACATTTAAATTCTTCCAACAGTTATAAAAGCTGTTATGGCTGAGGAGCTACCATAAAACAACCACATCTTCACATTTATGCAGAATTCTCCTTTCTTCAAAGGAACAGGTATGAAACTTCCTACGTTGCTCCAAGAAAGATTGCCTAATATTGGCCAAGTATTTTTTTAACTTAATAAAATAAAGGGTGATAAAAAAATCAGCATTTCTCTCTTTCAGTGATTTAGATTTTGCAGTTTAATGAAAGTGCTAAAAGGCAAATTTTATATGAGGTAGATTATCATAGCTTCCAAAAGACCAAAGGAGATAGAAATGCTGTAACAATGATATGATGATTGCAAGTAGTGGTAGAATACAATTTGATATAAACACACTTGATTACTCCAGCAGCTACTAAATCTGCCACTGATTTCAGTGAGCATTATTTCTTTAAAATCCTATTTTTTTTGTTCAATATTAGCACCTAAAACAACTGTCATAAGTCCACTGTCCTCAGCAGGCATCTCTAAGTGAGAACACATATTTACTGCTGCCTACTCATGGTTTAAAATAGGTAGCAGCAAGGCCAGCTTTCTGTGGCTAGAGACATGAAGTTCTACTGAATCAGTAAGTTTACACTGATACACATTTAATTTTTTTTTTTAAATAGAAAGAAAGTTAGAAAACATCTTAATCAGCATATCTCACAGGGGTTCCCTATTTTTATTAAAAATTAAATTAATAATGATAGTTGCCAACACAAGTGCTCCCTGTCTGCCACTAGTGAGCATTATTTAAGACTTAGAGATTTATGGGTAGTAATTTCCAGCAGCTGCAGTGTCTGTGGGCTGGGCCAGCAGGATCACTTGAGGGGGTGATCAGGCACTGTCGGCTGCAGCGGAGAATTCCTGCGCTCCCTCACCCCTGCCCTCATCCCTGAGCAGGGACAGCCCCTCTCACTGGGAATACACTTTCATTTTACTGCCAGCTCACTACTTGGTTGGAGTGAGAAACCAACAAAATGCCCATTAATTTCTGCCAAGATCGTGACAGGTTTTTTTCATGTGCAGCTGTCGGGTTGGAATTAGGCTGAAACTACCCATTCATTTCCTTTATTTCCCCCATTTGAAGCCATGATACAGCCCATGGTGCAGACTGCACTTCCAGTGAATATTTGAGACAGATTTTCTTCATTTAATATTGGAAGTAATTCTGATACTGTATGTCAGGGAGGAAATAATATTGGGAGGAGAAAAAGGAAATTATCATACATCTAGTAAGTATAATGCAGTAAGTTTTTCCTTACTTCATGAAAGCAAAATTTTTTTCCAATACTAACTTTCTACATATGATTGGCTTTGGAACAATAGTAACTAAAAATGCAGAAATGTCCAATGCAAATTTAAAATGTTATATTTGATTTTTCCTCAGTCACACAGATTGCATACCTCCACTCTTAAAGATGTCTACAGTAGTTTCACTTTTAAATAATAATACTCAAACTTACATTCAGAAACTCTTTCACATTTCTTAGCCTTGCTTGCTCAGACGAACTGTCATGAAATATTTTACAGTAGATTGAAATAGCACGTCTTATAGAACACCTACCCCAAGATTCATTTATTATTCTGGTACATAATGACTGTAATTACAAGATGCAGTTTCCATGCATGGAACTGTTCTGGAAAAGATTGGTTTATCTAGTCAACTTCTCTATAAATAAAGCCCTTGGTGGTAATCACCAAGGACTAGAAATATTTTCACAGGTTGCTGTGAAAGAATAACTAGCTGCTAAACGAATCTTCCCAGTGTCTGTTCAAGGGATGACTCATCTGCTCCAGTGTACATGTGGGAATGACATCCAACATCTTTGGACTTGGATATCTCACCTACCTTTTCAGATAAAGCATTTCAAGTCATTGCCATTAAAAAAAACATTCAAAGACACAAAGAAAGATATTTAACAAGAAACCTGTAATCTTGATGGAAATACAGACCATGAATAAAGGATATGAGTAAAAGATATCCTCTTTACCAAAGACAAAAAAAGCACATAACAGAATCATTAAGTCTAAGGAGCATTAACCACATTACCAAGCAGCAGCTGGTTTCAGCTGGAAATGACCTTCAACAACCTCATCTAACTTCTAAAATTGACCCTGCCATAAGCAAACTGTGGAAATAAATCACCTCCAGAAGTCCTTTCTAATATGGTTATTATTATCAGTAATAACCAGTAATAATCACTAGTAATAATACTTAAATGGTAATCTCCAGGCACTGTAAATATGCTCTTTATTGTTTTGGGTGCCCATTAAGAAACTCAGTTCACTGTTATCTAATTTAAAGGGTCAGGGAATTTTTAATTATTTTGCAGTAAGTCACAACCTCCATTTTAAGTAAGTTTGCTAAAACAAGCACAGATCTACAACATTTATAGAATTTCTAAGAAATTGAATATGACTTTTTTTCTGCCTTACAAGGAATGATTTTACTTGGATATTATATTAGTCAGAGAAATCATAATCAGGATAAATTATTAATTAAATATAACTGGTTATATCTGTTTGATTATATAAAGTATCTGATTTACTACATAGGAGCTATCGTTTATGAAATTACACATTCCAGAGGGTTAGTCCTAAGGCATTACAAAGTTATTTGACGCTATTAATTTTACTTCTGGTAATACCTGGGCCTTTTCAGTTGAAGACTACTATACATGGGAATTTTTATAGCAGGTGTGCCACACTGTACTCAACAACACAAGCAGGATATTGGAAGCTCCAGTCTGAAATATGACCAGTTTTCTGCAACAACTCTGATGCTGCACAATGGCTAAAAGAAAAAAAGGCTCAGGGGACAGCAGCACAACATAGTCCATAACGATTGCTTTTCCTTTTTTAACTCCTATTTTTATGTTACGGGTAATGTCCAGTCACTCTAAAATCTTTAGGTCAAGTCTAAGTGTTCCTAAACCTACCAAAATTTGACAGGGAATAAACTGTGCAAGTAATTTGTCAGTGAGTGCCTGAGGAGGAGGAAGGTGGTCTCTCAGGTGCTTGGCAGCAGTCTGTCAGTGGAGGGGGCGAGGGTTACCACAGCACCTCACTAGGCACAGCTTGGAGATAGTTCTTGTCATCCACTCTGACTGGGCACTTGCACTTCCTATGTGTGGGAATTGGTGGATCTGACCTGTAGAGGCAGATTAATGGCAGTCAATATGTAGAGTCTTTGAAAATCTTCCAAACTGGTTCCATTTTTCCTTCTTCCGTTTTCTTGATTGATAAGGAAAAAGCACAAAAATGAAGAATCTGAGGTAATTATGTGATTAAATTACAACTTGACCCATTCAGTTGCAGAAGACTGCCTAACAGCAAATGGCACAGTGCAGGTCCCCATCCTTTCCTTTCATTATTCTCTGTGTGGGAGAACTTTAGGGACAAAGGCTGATGTGACCCTTAAGAAGAATTCTGTTTGGTTCAGACAAGACACAACCATTGCAGTACTCAGAAGATTATAAAAACATGGTCCAAGTCTCATGTGCAAAGCTAGGCAGATGGCAACAGAGAAACAAATTTTCTTTCCTTCCCAAAACCCCATCCCATTCACTTTCAGCTCCAAGACCCAGCACCATTCTGCTAAGGGTTGTCATTCCTCACTTCCCCAGCTCCAGAACATATTAATCAAAGGAGATGAAGATCTAAAGAGACACAGCTAATTCTATTGCTCACACAAAATGCTTCAGGCAAGTAACACATTTTGTAGAACTTATAAGAAATTTAGATATTTAACGTTATGACAAAAAAAAATCAAGCTGTAAAATATATCCACAGATATATCAGATGATAGGAAATAGATGAAACACACAAAAGTGTGAGAGCCAAAGAAAAGGCCCACTCTACTGGTAAATATATTTCTTCTAATAACAGATCTGCAATTCACTCAAAAGGCCCTGAAACAGGATGTTACAGTAAGATATGTGTCTTTGGTAAGAAGTCCATATTTGTCTGATACTGTCGTTTTATCTCTGCAGAGCAGATTTAACACAATATGTTCCTGTTTTGTTCCTGGTGTTAGAACTATATATATTGGCCTAGGATATCTTCTCGTCATGAAAAATTACATTTTAAGCCACAGAAGAGAAATTGTTATGCACAGTATTTTATGTCCATTTGGTGTTTTGGGAATCATCAATTGCTTGTTTTCTTGTTCACTGTGGAGTCATGTTCTGTTCTAGTGCAACTTAGACTAGTCCAGTTACAGCTGTGTGTAATCTCTGTCTTTGTCCATATGCTTGCCTGTTTAGAACAATATCACAGATGTAAATAACAAAACCTGATTTTTCCTGATGCATGCAGATCCTCCAAAGTTTGATAGGATATGGCCGAATATTTCTTCCCTTGAGGTTTCTAAACCAAACCAAGGTAGGATGCTGTAAAATTCCTAGTGGTCTAAAGGTACTGAAATTGCTCTCATCAAGTCCCACGTGGTAAAAAGTAGTAACAATGATACTCCAACTCATTTTTCTCTGGTGCTAAGTAATGCTATCCTGTGAGAAAATAACTATAAAGCAAACCTTACCTGAAAAGGGAGTCTTCCAACACTCAGACTGTGCACATTACTGCAAATATGGGAATAGTAGACATAGAGACTAAAATTTATGATACACAGAAAGCCCAGGACAATTTTGGACTTGTTTAGGTAGCACAGTCTGTATTTTGAGTAAGTTTTGAGATTTTTAAGTGAACAAAGGTTGTCACTGTCAACCTCAAAAGGATTTTTAATGTCTTGTTTCCAATTTGTTTTCCCAAGTGAGCTGAGAAGCATTCTCAGCTTTCATGCCATCCACAATACAAGCAAGTTCTCTGCAGGAAAGACCCATGGTTTTCTACAATTTGAGTGCTATACAAAAAATTACTCACATACTGTGATATGACGATTAGCACTGAAAGAAACAAAATTACTTTTTAAGATGACTAATAAAACTAAGCTTCTTTGTTAGTTGAAGAAGTATTCAGCTATACTTCACATTTCAAAGTGATTGCTCATTATAAAAATGATTTCCTTCTGTTCTTATTTATTGCCCTTTCCTCCCCCAAAAGTCGCTGCAGAAATCTGGCCTGTGGCTTGCTTTCATGTTCAAAGGGTGTCCTTTCTGTGCTGTTACACACAGAGGTGGAGGATAAAATTAACGAAAAGGCAATCTAGACAATGGCCACTAAACCAAATGAGATGTATTGAGAATCTGTTGGGAATTACATGGGAAGGGCTGTAATTAAGTCTGGATCACAATCACCAAATCAATCATACATGTGCATGTGAAATCTACCATGTTATAAGTACAAGTTTCTATGTGCCCAACAAAGCAGATAAAATTGATCTATTCTCTATGTAAGGATTAGAAATTACTTTAGTTTGGACTATTCACCATATATTTCAAACAAACCATCCCTGATAAAGTAACACCTAGCATTCCAATTTCATTTAGCTCCCACTGTATTTCCCAAGTTTTTGCATGTCTTTTTTAAACAAACAAAAAACCCCACCCAGACTGATCTCTTTTCCTCTGCTCTCTGTAAGGATTAGCCTGCGTTATTCAGAAGAATTTTAAATTAAAACATTCTCAGTTAAATTATACTTAGCATTTCTAATGGATTTCATTGCTTAATTATACTGTGTGTGATCTAAGATCTAACTTCATTAAAAAATATGTTTTGAACAGCACAGAATTATTCAGTGTTTCTTCCCCAAAAATAAGAGTTTAAGTAAATTTAGTTTTGATGTTTTGGTAGGGAGCACAAAACACAAAAACGTCAAAGCATTTCTATTTAGCTTTTGTGTGTTTGCAGCATATTGTTACTGTCTTTAACATATAGTGTAGATTAAATATGTCATTTAAGAATAGTGTATGAAAAGAATGATTACAGAAATCTGCCTATATCTAAATATTTTATTGTGGGGTTTAGGTTTATGCTAATTGGCCAGAAAAAATATGCATTCAAATTCAATAAAACCCTTTTCAGACCACTCTGATTACCATATAGTCATTTGTCACAGACTGTGAGAAACAAATAGCCTCTAACACAAAACTGCCACAGTGCATAGATGTGAATTACATTCCCTGTCTTGATCTTGGATGTTACAGCTCAAATAATTTGTAATTGATAGTGTATAACTCATTTTCTGTAACTTCACCCTTCCTTACAAAAAAAAAAAAAAAACATTGTTAAATTCAAAAGTTAGAGAATAAAGATGTTTATCTTAATATTTTGATTTGTTCCTATATGATACTTTTTCTAATTTGCTGTTCATTTTATTACCTATCCAGTTGCTCCCAAATTAGCTATGTCAACTGTTTCTTCTGTTCAAGTTGCAAACCACAAGAGAGGTAGGAATTCTAGGATTCATACAGTGATCCCATAGTGCTCTGTGTTGTGAAAACATTGCACTGTATGAATCTGGAATATCTGTGGAGTGTACCCATTAGTTTACTGGTGAGGCATCTTCATTGAATACAACAGAAGCATTAAGTCACATAAACATAAGCCATACAAAGAAAAATAAATATGCTTCTTAGACAGTTGTTGGTGGCAAATAAAGCGACATGGCATTTATTTTTAAAGGAGTTAAATGTATGAATATGACTATTCAGATCCTTGCCTAGAAAGCAGATGTTTACCAGAGTCCTGTTTTCCTCAGTGATATGCATAAATTGTAAAAGAGGAAACATAAGCAGATTAGTTGAGGGCAAACAATCCATAAAACATCAATTGTCCATGTCCTCAAGAAGTATCTGTAAATGCCATGGAATGTAATGCATTGTTGTGTCTTTTAATGCATTGTAAGTGTGCCTTATGTCTTCATTTTATTCTAAGTGTGCAAATTCAGAGTGCAGGCATTACATTTTGAACGGATGTTCTAGTGTTCTATAAAAATAATGGAATTTTATGGATATAATAAAGGATGCCAATATTCTTTCTGACTTACAGGCAACCTGTTTCATTTGCATATCTGTCATTCACAGTCTGAACCCTGAGATCTTTTCATTGTTTTTCCTCATCAATTTATCTGTAAAGAGTATGTATGAAGATGTTTTGTCTTTCTGCAGCTATTGTGAATATCTCATTATTCATGAAATACATGTGAACAAGGAAAAGGGTTATTAAGGAATGTCTGAACTTAGTTTGACCCATTTGATGAGATCATGGTAATGAGCCATACTGTTTATTATGAAGCAGGTAATTTCTAAGGTTACAATGAAATCTCCTTTGTTTGCCTTAGTGTATGGAGGAGGAGCACGGAGTGACTGGAAAATGAAAAAGAAAAAATAATTTAATTATTTGTGAATGCACTTTTCTTGAAATCTGCTTTGTGCTTTTAATTAAAAAGTGACACTAATAGCTGTCTCATGCAACCTGTCTGAGTTTAGAAATGATGCTACCCTTCCATGTGTGTTTATCATTGTTTCATGTGATGACATTTCATGTTTTAATGGTTGTAGCTGAAGCTTCAGCTGAACTTCATCCCTACAGTAACAGTACGTTATCTCAAAGATGTAAGTGCATAGCATTAGAATGGGGGAAAATTGTTCAATTTATAGAAACAAAACAATTAGATTATCAGCTTCGTGAGCCTGCTTCAGTGGGTAATTTTATCATGCTTTCTGCAACAGAATCAAGATTGTTTCAATAAAATCATTGCACTGGAAAATAGTCAGGGAGGCTCAGAGAGTCAATGCTTCTGTGAGTTTGCAAGGGATTTGACAGTTCCTGAATCAGCCAAAAACAATGATCACATCTAACATGGCAATCCCTTTTTCCTTCACATTAAGCCTATCTAGCTGTCATTACCTCTTCTCTGAGATTTTTGGCTTCTGAACCATTCACTCCTTTTTGTTACTCAACTTATCTGTGTCTTTTCTGACATGTGGTACTCAGAACTGAAAGCAACATTTTCTATCACTGTAAGAAGCTCATGTCATTTCACAATGGTTGGTAAACCATGTGCAGCCTGATTTTGAGACTTTTCCTCCATCTCCTTCAGTGTTTGCATGACTTTGCCAGTGCGTGACAGTGCTTTAGGCTGCTAGCCAGAGCTGTGTGCCTAAAGACCCTGAGCTGTGCTTCTGACAGGTCTACAAGCAGAATACTTTCTGGTTAAGGTGAAGCACATGATATGCTGGAAGGGCCATACAGCACTGACAGCTTCCCAGCTGGCACGGTGCTGAATGCAATTCTGTGTGCTGTGTCTGAGTGGCTTAGGGCAGCACCTCATGTAGCCAGTAGAAAAAGTAATTCCATTTCAATCAGAGGAGGACTTTCTACATAGCTTATTTTTGTAAGCACAGAGGGATGTAAATATGATTCACTGACCAGGCCAACAGCAAAAAATTACTGCACTAACAAACAACGCTGTGGGGAGGCAGGGGAGAAGCAAACATTGTCACAAAAGTGATTTAATCGTTACTTTCCATTTCTTTTTTGTTTTTCCTTTTGCCATTGCTAACGCTTGATCAGATGTTGGACTGCTTTCGACTTAACTGTGGTTTTTTTCTATACCACGTAGAATTTACTTGTGTGATGAAGACTACTAGAGCACTCCTGTATCTTAGCATTAGTTAACTTTGAGACAAAGACTTTGTTTCATACAGCACAGTTGTTACAAAAGAGCAATACCCGTAGAAATGCAACCAAGTTTAAAAATTGGTCTCTTTGTTTACCTTAAATATTAATGGCCCACCTCTGAACTTGAGCAGTCCTCCTGCATATGTTTCAGAGCATGTGCATACATCCAAGTGCTTCATAATTATTAAAGGTTTCTTCACTCCAAATCATAACTTGGAGCAGGCCCTGTGTTACAGAGTGAATTGCTTAATGTGCAGCTTTTGTTTTTGTGCTGTTATGGCTAATTATGTGTAATAGTAATATAATTGAAGGTTGTATTGCAGTTTCAGAATGGAAATAGTGCAGTCATTCATTCATGAACTATTTTCAGTTTCTTTCTGCTGCCTTAAATACAAAAGATATTGTAGCATAGTCAGCTTTTCTTTATAGTATATAGGCAAATTATTTCCTCTAAATTCACCTGGAGTGAAAATGTTTAGCAACAAGTCTGACCAACATAACACTATAGTATCATCTCACCAAAACAAACTCTCTGTTGGTAGCAGAAGACAGGTCCTTTGTCAGACAGAAAGACTGACAGCCTTGCTTCTGAATCTTGGATTCACAAAGTTCAGATTGCTTATCTCTAGTCAGTCTTTCTTACTTTAAAAATCAAACACAAACATAATCACACCAATTTTCCATTACTCCTGTTTGCTAGTGGTATTTTCCACTTTTAGATCTCATCTGTTCCACACAGGCAGTTTTCACTTGAGCAAGATGGATATACTTGGAGAAAAATGCTGCAGGGTGGCTGGCTGAGATGCTGAATCAGACTGACCAGCTGCAAAAGACAATAAACTAACATTTTTTTCCTCCCTACTCAATTGTGTCAAGTGGTAACATAGTGAGACTGATACACCAAATGTTTTCCTGTACTCCAGCAGTTACTGGCATCAAAATTATCAGAACCACAAAACACTGGTTTAGCAGAATAACATTGACGAGAACAAGAAATATATGTTAACTAAATGTGTATATGTAAAATGGATTAATGTTTTCTGGCAGCAGAAAGGCAGCTCTCAAGATTGAAGCATATGTTGTGCTAAGTGTCTAAAAAAAAAATGCATTTACGGTGGAATCTATTTACGGTCCAGTACATCAGACAAAAGCCAAAGAAATATCCATGTATTGGGAGTGCAGAGCATACTCAGAAACACATACTGTGACTGTTGTTTCTTTACAAAAATAGAGAAAGGCTCAAATACTGTATGTGATGCCCTACTCCACCAGTCAGGGGATGATCAGGTGGCCCAGCATAATCAGGAGCATACCAGAGGAAAGGCAGCACAGGGGACTTGGCCTCTGTCATACATGGAAACACCCTCTGCTACAGTTTTATCTAATTACAAGATAATTTCAAGACCTCAAAGCCCTTCCAAGTCACTGCATCCAGTGCTCCATTATTGCAGGAAACATACTGTAATTTATTCTACCAGTTAATAAACTGTAAAGTATCTGTAAAGCATCAGTGTGTTTTGTGACAAGTGGAAAGTGTCCAACAACCTCACTGCCCTAAAGCCTAGATATCATCTTCTAATTTCCAGCTGAAATTTCCCAGTAGCCAGTTAACACCATTTGTTACTGTGGCAGTATTGCCCATTAGGATGGCAGGAGGCTTAGCTCCTTGCTGTATTTGTACAAGAAGGTGATGCCTTCTATCATCAGTTTGCTAGACAAATTTTCCTAGTCTTCACTTTTTAATTAGACAAATTTTCCTAGTCTTCACTTTTTAATTAGACTCAACTTCTCTGATCATCCTAGTAACCTTTCCTGCATTCATTCTGGGCTCATAATCCCAAGAGTTGAGTGATCAGGCTTACACAAGTATTCTACTCAAAGTAGAGCTGTGTCTTCTATAATGTTATGGATAATTTCTGATTTTTTCTTGTTCTGCATAAAGCCAAGTATTGCTCGTGATTAAAGACTAAAAGGCACTAACATTCTATATTTAATGAAGGGTTTTTTTTAAAGTGGCTGTCATGCCAACTTCATTTCAGATGGCTGCAATAAGCATGCTTTCTAGTCAGTACACATTTCAGAATTTTCATATTCTTTTCTAGACCAACTGGTTTTCATCTCAGAATACAAAAACTGGTTAATGTTTACCTCAGAAGTACAGTTGATGTGGTTCTCCAATAACTGTCTTCCTTCCTTTTCTTTGCTGTTAATCATTTTAGGAGGTGTTGGCCAAAATTGTCAAACTAGAGATTTGTTTGGCCATGAAATAAAACACTCTGATTCTCAAGGTGCCTACTAGTTATAGCACCCCAAGTTCAATAGCATTTTTGAATACTCTCCATTTCTGTCAGGAAGAAAAAAAAAAATTATTTTACTTATAGCTGTGGATTTAATCATAATTAAGTTTGACAATTTTGTCCACTGAATTTAGCATTGTTAATACGAGGAGGTTTTTCCCAGGTCTTGATTTATACTCATCTCAAATGTGCAAAAATATGTGCATTTCTCTCAGCGGAAACTGAACCTCCAGTAATCCTGAAAGGTTTACAACTGCAAATGCTTCAGTTCCATCAGGTCTGCCAACAACAGCCAACCTCCGACATCATGCCATGGTTGTCGGGTCACGCTAACCTGCCTGAAACCAGCTCCACTTCCATTGCAGATAAACATCTGCTGCTGTCCATTACATTGATTAACATGTATGTGCCATTCATTCATACTTCTGCTCATGGTCCATTTTAACTAAGCATGTAATGTGCTATTACTCTGCTGCTGTATACACTCTGTATACATTTCTGTTCTTCCTTGAAAGACTGTGAATGCTTCGGGCACTCCAACCGGTGCAGTTACATCGAGCTGCTCAATACGGTCATTTGCGTGAGCTGTAAGCACAACACTAGAGGTCAGCACTGCGAGTTATGCAGGCTGGGCTACTTCAGAAATGCTTCTGCAGAGCTGGACGATGAAAATGTGTGCATAGGTCAGTCCCGGGATAACTGCGCCTTTTCTTCTGTGCCTTTTCAGCTCCTGGCAGCTGCTAGGGACCACTGCTGCTTACTTGCACTGAAGCCAGAATGAGCTTTTTCAATGGATCAGAACATCTGTGTAGACTTCTCACCTCATTTCTATTGCTCTGGTAGCCCCAAGGAGGCATTTTGAATCCGTAAATGATGATGAACCTCTCTGGCTATGGGTCGTGGTTAGACTTTCCCCAGAAACCCCTGAGACACTGGATGTGCTCTCCTTACACAGGAGGGAGCCACACTGGGGTCACACATGAAAATTAAGGAGTTGAGTCTTAAATACCTGGTCCCAATCTGACTTTTGCAATTACTAGTAGAGATTATTGAATACTTGCCTGGATACCTACAAAAGTTGCCAGCTGCATCAAGAGAACAGGAGGAGGGACCTCTGTTAATCTGGTTTATTCACTAAATTCCACATTTGCAGCTAATTCTGCTCCCAGACACAGCGTTGTAAATGCAGTGTTACCTCCCCTCTACTTAGAGGAGGAACTGAAATTATGCCCATGAGGTTAGGAACAGAATTTGTCAAATCAGTGTGACACAGTGTCAATTTAGAAAGTGATTCCTAGGTGAAAACAGTGCTTTAGAACAAGCATCTGCTATAAATATTCAAACTGCAGAATTAGAGAAAATGTTAGAACATAATAAGAAAAGCATGTTAGGAAAAAATTTAAGATCTTAGCACCCTAGAAGAATATGCATTGTTCTCATGTCACCACAGACAGTATACAACAAAGTTAGGTGAAGCCTGAACATAGTCAATAAAGGAAGCTTTGCACAATGGCCAGTAATTAACAGATAGCCACTAAAGACACTGTTCTAATAACAAACAGAGGTGGAGAATTTAATATCCTGTTTCTTATAGACATAAGCACCAGTAGGACCTGTTCTGGATTTTCATTGTGATTTTTTTTTTTTTCTTTCCATCTTCCAGGAAACAAAGAGTAGTTAGCAGATACTGTAAAATCAAAACATACTACAGGTGAATAAATTATATTTTAATACATTTATAATCCATTGCTGAGATTCAAGCCAGAAACTATTTAGGTTGCTATTATTTGTTTGAGTTTGTAACTTGTCAGATTTACATATTTATCTTGTGATAAACACACAGATCCATCCATGCACTGCATTTCATGTGTCCTTCTTTTAACTTTGCTTGGCAATGCATTCAGGAAATGCATGATCTCCTTTGCCAGTAATTAGTCAGAGCTAATAAGAACTTTAGTAGGCAAGTCATGATTTTGTATGACTGTGCTGAGGATTAACACAATCAAATGTTCTTGGAAAAAAACTACTGTCCCACATATTTGTTTGATGTAGATGACAGACATCATTGGTGTGACATCAGGGCTGTATAATTTCAGCTGCCTAAATAGGCCTAATGAATACGACTCTAAATTGGTCTGTTTGGAATTTTTCATCAGCTCATTCAGTATGTTGTTTTCCCATATACACTGAAATGCTAAGACAGCAGCTGCAGCTACAGAAGACAAGGAAGTTAGTAAACAAAAAGCCAAAAATAAGTAATTTTAAAATTAATTTATAAGTGATATATTTAAAATGTCATGGGAAGACAACTGTGCACTTTAAAATTGCCAGGATACTGACGAAATAAATTTTTAAAATCTTTTGTTTAGGAAAAAAAAAAAAAAGATAATGTGAAACATTTGCTGACTTTCCACCTTAATGCAAGCAGAATTCTCTTGCGCTCCCCTGAGAATTGCACCATGTGAAATAACTATAGGATCAAACCATGGTTTTCTACACGTTAGGTAATTAATTTGAAATAAATAACATTCTTGCTGGACTAAGACAGTTTTCCAGATCACAGTTACCATACAAAATGTATGTTTCTAATGTATGTGTCCTAACTGATTTGCCAGCTTTAGAGGTCTTTCCTACTTCTTGTGTAAAGTCAGTGAAATGAACAGACATCTAAGCACTTCTCAGAAAACAGAGATGTTTGTTCTTAAAGTGCTGTCTTGATCTGGGGCTCCTAAGATTTAATTGGGCAAAATGTGGAGTATTTTCACCTGTGAGAGAGTTGATGGATTCACCCTTCTAGGTCAAGCACAGTCTTGCTCTATTGGAAACGCTCATTTCTCTTTTCTCTAAGTTTAAAAGCAGTGTTCTGTGGTTTAAATACAAGTAAAATGTTGGCATGAACATTTTAATAAGCAGATCTGCAGTGATATGTGCAAGTCTTATTCCCATATGAAAGTCATTTTTTCAGGCTAATTCTTTCCTCTTCAGCCATATATGTAGAAAGGTAACAAATGTCTGAATAAGCTAGTTTAATGGCAGCTAATAGGGCTTTGGCTCCGATTTATCAAAACTGCTTCACAGTTTGCAGAAATACATATGGTAAGTACATGGATAACAAATCTGTGAATCTTAGCTGATGCTAAATCAATGGAGAAAATGTAAAATGCTTAATTTTTAAGAATAAAGAATTCAAATACTGAAAAGGTTTTTTTCCAGTGAGCCAAATGCAATGTATTATACAGTGGGCTTAAATCTTAATTCTTGATGCCCTTAATTTCTTTAGCAGCAAAATAGATTTTATTTCCTAAAATGAAATACCAAAAATTTGTGGATTTCTATGTTAACTGCAAAATCACCTCATATGGGCAACTGCAGTTTCAGAATAAACCAAAGTATTCTGAAGTTAAAAATTATTCATTCGGTGTGAAAAATAATTTAACAGCTTGAAGAGTTTTTTATTTCTTAATAAAGCCCAAGTGACTTTCAGTGAATGCACACACTTACAAGCAAGGATAGCATGGAAACCACCAGGTAGACCCAGAGTAATAAAACATGGCCTTTGCCTCACAGCATAAATACTGAACTGGTGATTGCTGTCACACGTCTAACAAAGCCACCCTTGCAGTCAGTCAGGTTTAAGCTTCAGCTAACACCAGAAGCCCTAATGACACGTGGTTAAGTTAACCCTGAGGTTTGTCCTAGAGCTACTGTCAGCCCAGACTAATAAGCAGCAAGCCTGCAAGCCTCAGCCCATTTCCTCGCCTCCTTTCTTAGTTACACTCATTGTGTTTTGTTTGAAGCATCACATTGATGCTTCAATCTGTTCACCCAGTGAACAGATGACCATTTCTGTTATCTTCCTATCCTTACAAATAGTTCCCAGATGAAGGTTAGGATGAAAATTCTTTCTTGGTTGAGATCTGTAGGGGCTTTTTCCCCCACCCTGGAACCTGTGTGTGGTTTGCTTATTAGGGTGATCTGGGAATGTTAGTTTAGTGATATTTAGTGCCCTATTGTTGTAAGGGCATTGGAGATACTCGCTGCCTCCCTGAGGCACACTGAAATTGTGACCTTTGAGATTTGTAATGTCTTAAGTATTTGGTAGGCCTTGGGAAGTGTTCCACAAACTGTGATTCGTGTGACCCTGAATGTTCTGTAGGTGATATTACTGTAGTATCAATTGGGAAAGATGGAAGATAGAATTAGTCTGTTGGGTGTTCTGATTGGATCGACTAATTTTGCAAAATGGCCTGGCTTAAAACTTTGTTTCTACTGTTTACATTCCCTTCGATAGCATGATATGGGCCTGGAACTGCCTACATGTTTATGTGATAGAGTTCAGTAGGAAAGATTTCACTGGTTCAGGGTCTTGTTCTCTGGAAAATATAACATCCAGTATCACAGGCTATACAGTTCTTTCACAAATACTTGTTTAAATCACTGTAACTTCATTACATCTAACAAAGCAGTTTTTAACAAGAATTGGGCCCTCTGTTTTTAATGTAATTCCAAGCTTTTGTCTTTCAAGGTTTTCTATAAACACTCGTGAAGCAAATTTTACTTCCTGCATTCAGAATGTATCTCAAGTCTATGCCTGTTTACATAAGCATTTGATACATCTGATTAACATCAGAATTCCCAGCTTTTCAAAAGGCACTCACTTTGCTGTAATACTCAGCCTTGCATAGTATTTTTGGCATGTCAGTTTTACACTTCATTAATGAATGTTGCCAGCTAATTGACTCTATTATTATTGTGGAACCCTTTTGCCAAAGGTAACTATTCTTCTTCAGCATCCCAAATGTTCAAAGTGCCATCTGTAATTTATAGTTAATAAACAGTGAAACAACAGATGACAAATGTCTTTCTGGTAATTTTTTTTTCCTGTTAGTTTTTTTCATTGGAGGGAGATACATACATAGGTAACTTCCCAGTTCAACTCCATTTTTTCATTTATGGTACCACTGAGGTTTAACCTAATGCTAGGGAGCAATTGCCAGATATAATCATCAAGGCAGCACTGATTCACAAACATAAATCCAGTCTCCCAGCAGGTTGCCCCAAATCAGGAAGAAGCAGAGATCAGATGCTTCCAAAAGGAGTCTGTGGTCTCAGTTAACAGTGAAGTTACTCTGGGTCTACATGGGTCTACATAAAAATGAGATAACCCTTAATTTGAAACCAAAATCTAAATAACCAAGGTGAAGAACAGGAATGCCGAAAATGAGCTCTCTGAGCTCCTTGCCTTTGTTCAGCTGGCTGAAATCTGAACACAGATATTGTAATCACATTAAAGAAAAGGGCTGTGAATGAACAACACACTAAGTGTTGTGGGAGGAAATGTGTTACCCTACTTATTCTTTAATTAGCTGAACACATGTGAAAAATATACAGCGGGGAATGAGCCTCACTGCATTTTCCATCTGCACGCTGGGAGGTGAGAGAAATTAAAATGGCTGCATAAATCCCGTTCTTAAAGGTTTTGCATTACATTAGTGCTCACCTCAAGCTTTTCATTGCAGAATACGCAAAAGGTTTATTAATGTCACTGATAAATCAATCTCATCAATTTAATGGCAAATATTCACTTAAATTATTATACTGCTCTAAACCTATAAAGGAAGACTATCTTGGAAATAGGTAAAGTGCATTTATATAGCCCTGTAAAGACATCTAGCACTTCTGAAAATATTGAGTAATACAAATAAGCCTATTTTAATAAAGCAAAACATTTCACCCTGATGGCACATTGATATATCCATACTATACAAAGCTTTTCTAATGTTCATTAAATTGTCAAAAATATTCTTGCCAAAGAGAATATGTTACAATCACTTACCCTCAAGACCGTGGTATCTTCTGCTTTATATCTTTTCTGTTTACTTTTTCTCTTTGCATCATAAAACGTCTCTTCCTGAAATGACACATGCAAACAAATAAATGGACATGTAGTAATTATATTCACTACACTAGATGTTCTTAATAGACAGTCTTCCTTTACCTTTAGCACTGGAAATGCACCCTTTATTGGTATTGAATGAATTATCTCCACATGTAGACCTGAATCCAGTGTGTATGTGTTGTCTTGTTTCTGCAGACTGTTATTGTAACCCTTTTGGTTCAGTCCATGATCGCTGTAATGACAGAGGATTTTGTGAGTGTAAGGAGGGAACATCAGGGCCTAAATGTGATAAATGTCTGCCGGGATATATCTGGCACAGCTTGGGCTGTCAACGTAAGTAACTCTGAGAGTTGCCCCTCTCCTGCAGCTCCGCTGCCTCTCGTCCGTGTGCTGTCATGTGCCAATTCTTGGGAGCAGAGAACGAGCGAAAGCTCTGGGCTGTACCAGTGCCATAATGCCAGACCCTTGGGAGACTCCCAGCTGAAGGCACTGACTGTGCCATCCAGTTCATTCAATGCACTCTCAGTGTCCTCTCTCTCTCCCACTAACACCTGGAGGAGCTCCCGCTGGCATAGGTAAATACACGTCTTGGCAACTCTGAAGTAAGTTTGGTATACTAAAACATCAGCATATTACTTCCAAATTCAGAATTCCTACTAAAAGAAAGAAGGTGATTTCTCTGCATGTTCACTTTTTTCTGTCCTAAACTTCAGCTTCTAAGTTAATTATGCTTTCATACCTTTAAACTATCCCTGGACAATAACTGCAAAACACTGGCTTGGTACCTGTAATAATTAGTGAAAACAAGATGAAAGATAATCTTTGGAAAAAAATGGAAGTATACTTAACTTCCTTAAAAATAAGAGCTGAAATTTTCCTTAAATGGTGTTAGAACACATGTTGTTTCAATGCTTAGTGATATATTTTGCTTCTCTTCTGGTTAACGGGTCTTGTAAACAAATGAGTAGAAATATCACTTCAGTATATACAGATTTAGACTTTCACTGCAAATTTTGTTTGTAGTAATTTCTTAAGATTTATTCTTTTAACAGTTTTGATCATCTACTTCCAGAAACTCTGGAGAGTCCTCTCACATTTTCTTCCACCTTCTCTCACTGCCTGCATTCTTAACCACACACACATTAAAGACAGATTTCTATGAGAGCTTGCTTTTGATTCTTAAGACTGAGAAACACGAGAAAATAATTACTGACATCAATTAGTAATTACTGTCAGTAATTGCTAACACCAATTGGACAAATAATATAAAATTGGTCAATAGCCATACAAATGCTCTAAATACTCAAAACCAAATGCAAATCTTATATAATAATTTTTTTTTAAAAAGGCAATAATGCTAGAGATTACAGCTGCCTCTCCTGACGAGTACCTCTGAAGCAGAAAAGCTGGACTTGTGACAACACAACAAATTATACGGGGAAAGAAAACCAATAAATAATTTCAGGAAATATTGTGATAATTAACCAAATAGCATTAAAGATAGTAGATGAAAAGAAAAGAAGCTTGCATTCTTTTGCATGGCTTGCCTGGCAACACTGTTCAGTGCAGCCTGAGAAAACTGGACTTCCTCAGCTTCTACCAGCAAGCTCCTATTTGTATGTGGCAGGGCATTTAAACCAAACCATACTTTTCACATGTGGTTGTTGACTGTGTTCATTTTCCAGATGCTTCCACTTGAGTTATGATTCACAAAATTATTGGGTAGTTAGAATTGCAGCAGAAAGCAGGTGAAGTAATGTTTCAAGTTTCCAAGTTCTCTATTACTAATTCTTCACCAAATCAGATCCTAGTTACCTCCCAAACAACACACTCAGAAATATGTGGTCTCCCTCTGTCTTGCACCCCATATGCAGAAGATGGTTGTTGCCACCCTGTACCTTATCCTAGATACTGGCAAAATAACCATTGGAATTTATGAAGCATTGGAAATACTGCAGTGACCCGAACTACAAGGCAAAAAAACAAAAACAGAAATCAGTATGGTTCTCTGCATAGAATTTGAATAAAGAAAACCTACTACTGTGTCCACCCCGTGGGTTTAAAAAAAGATATTAAGCAGCTGAGGTACTGAACAAGTCTGGAGGACTGCTGAGCAAATTTTACCGTAATATATATACACCGGTTTGTCAAAGCAATTACTTATTAATTTCAGTACTTCCTATATTTTCGGGTTTGGACATTATAAGACAAATAATGTTCTTTTAATGAGGAGTTTTTTGAGCCCAGCATATAATTAGCTTAATTTTAGCTGAATCAAGAGTATCTGTAAAAGCTTTGGACAGTTTCTGGAAATGCAAGCTACTGCCTTTATATTTGCTGACAAAACTAATTGAGTTTCCCTCACTATGTTGTAATTTTCTGAACAAATCTCAGTCTGATTGTGTAACTGTCAGATATTCTCCAAGTTTGAACAAATTATCTGATCAATTTCAGAAGAAAAACAACTAGATGCGGTTGTCAGTTTTATGGAACAGACATCAAATTGTCATGTTTTACCAACCACACACTGATTTAAATCTCTTTTCAAGTCTTATCATGGAAGAACAGAATTTCAATTAATTTAATTTTGTACAGTGTCAGTTTTAGCTTTCTTATTTTCCCATTGAATTCTAAACAAATGACCAGGCAAGCAAGCAGACCCCAATATACAAGAAAAATAAGAACTCATTCTGTTGCCTTGGCAAAGCTCAAAAAGATTATTTGTCTGGACACGTAGCATGTGGTTTTGATCTGCTTTTCCCTAAGCCTGTGCTGCACAGGAACATAGATATGCAAAGATGGATACACACACTCACTCAACAGACCAATATGTGCTTGTTTACGTTTTGTTATACATAGGCTATTGGCATTATTATGAAATTCTATTCTTACAGAGCTTTGTTGCTAAAAACCATTGACCTAGTGCAAACAGAAGCTTGACTATAAATAAACAATTTAAATCTATACCATAGCTAGTTAATTACATGTATGATTCTGTAAGTAAATGGAGTGTCATAATTTTATATATTAGTAAACCTATCAGGGAAAAAACAACACAAAAGCCGAATTGAGTTTTCTAAGGCTCACAATATATCATTTGATAAATTACAGTTTGGAGTCTACTTTGTACCACACAAAGTAGAAGTCACAGAAGCTATTATCCTTACAACTATTTATTTAGGTACCTCACTCTTAGTGATTTAATCTAAACCCTTTGAGGATCCAGGCAGAGCGCTCCTCGCTTGGCGTCTCTGCGCACACTGAGGTCAGATGCAATTTTAGACTTTGCCTCCCAGATAAAAAGCACTGTGATAGCAGCTGTTATCTTCTTGCATTCAGGGTTTGTGCTGCAGAGACGTAGCGGTCAGCGGGGTCTGGTTGGTACAGGAAGGTTTGCTGCCCTCAGAAGAAGAGGCACAATAGATGTGGCTGTGCCTGCGCAGCTTCTGAGCCCTCCCCAGAACCCCTGTGGCCGCTGGCGTGGGCATGCGGGAACGTGCTGGGCTCAGCGGGGCCTCCCTGCCACATACCCACAATGGATTTTCTCACCAGGATCAAAGCACGGGAATGAATTCAGAACAGAACAGTTTGGTCCTGAAACCCTTTTAGAACTCCTGGAACATGAGAAATTACATAGCATAGCATATATTTGATTTTTCTATTTTACAGAAACTGAATGATTTCCTTTAAAAATGAACATTAAAACAGAACTAAAACTCCAAGCCTGGCAAGAAATTTAACCTTCAACTACAGTTGATTTGGCCAGTTTTTAACTGAACGTAGTGTTTTTTTGAAAAAAGGAACCTGTATCAAAAGCAAAAACATATAAACACGGACAAAATATTAAGTAGGAGCATTCATTTGATCTTCTACATGTATTGCTCACAGTTTGCATCTTCTGTATTTCTTGGCCATGACATTTCAGGTGATTAAAGTCCATTGCATACATACAGCAGCATTTTAAAGTAACATCTTTTAATTTCACTCACAGAAGCATTGATTCCAAAACTAGCTGCATATTTATCCAATCAGGCAAAGAAAAGATCTTTTGCCAATACCAGTTTGGCAGCAGAGCTCGAATTTTCATTAGGCGTGTTCCTCATGGGGGAAAAGGTGAGGGAAGGTTCAATGATTAATAATATTCTCTATCTCCCTTCATATAAAAACCAAGTAAACACATGGAACCCACAGCACTACAAAGGCCTAGAGTGAGTGAGAGTTTCCAATGGTAGCTGGCATCCCATAGCAAATCAGTGTTTTAAATTATCTTGGTTCAATGGTGCTAATCTTAAACAATTAGCAAATGAGTTTTCAGCCAGATGCCTTATATCAAGGTCTGAACAATGTATCTCATTTTACCCTTGCTCATTCATTTAAACAGAAGCAAGCAAAGGATTGCACTCTTATCTTCCATGCTCAAATTGGACTCAGTGCTTGTAGTCTTCCAGACTAAATATGTATTACTCTGTAACCTGTGAGATAATTCATATTCTGTCACAGCATGCATTTAACTTATTATATGATTACTTAAATACGAGCTTTTTAGGTGTGGATTTTTTCATGTGTTACAAATGTTAGAAGCTGGGGCTTTTGATCAAAATCATCATGCAGATTGTGTTGCCTAAGAAAGTCAAACTTGAAATTGTAAGCTTGGAATTTAAGCTTAACATTTGCTTTTGGAAGATTGGATTTACCGTTCAGCAAGAAAAGAGGAAAAGACATATACCATCTAATTATTTTAAAATCTTTTTTCAAAAATCTACATCCTGCACTTTTTTCTAGACAGATTGAATACATATAAATGCAATGGTCTCTCCAGTGAAGGTTAGTGATCTTTGACAGTTTGTACACAGATGTGTCCAGTACCTACACATTGAACTTGTGCCTAGGGGACAAGACAAAAAAAAAAAAAGAAACAGAGATGCAGAATCAAGGTGCCCTTCTTTCCTTTTCACCATTGCAGCCGCCTATGTGGGAATCATAGAATATCCACCTATCTATACATCTTTTTACCAATAGCAGTTTTAATGCTGTTAGCTGGTCAGGATACAGTAGGAATCCCCTCTGCACAGGTGCTGTACATACTTTCAGTTCTGCTGTGCTTTGGTGCCAAGGCTGGTACTAGTAAGCACACTGCTACACATGGGAGCTGAAGGGAAGTAAAATATAAAAAGAATTTCTTGAAAGGATAAAGTTCTGCTGGAGCTGAGCATTGTTGTCCTCAGGGAACAGTCATCTGTCCCTGGTCTTTATACAGAACATACTGCTTTCCAAAAACCTATTTTACATGGTTGTTATGCAGACTAAAGAAATTGTGTGTGTGTATATGGGGG